CAGAAAAGAAAGAAAAAAAGATAATTTGTGACAATGGACAGAGGAAACCACTGAAAATATTCGTTTCCCGCAGTCTATTATCCAGCATATCTATAAAACACATAATTACATACTCTACTGCCCATTTTTCATAAAACATCTAACTTAAGACAAGAATGTGACTCACAAAGAAGTGGAACATTAGCTGCCCTTTGTCATTTCAATCAAAATCCCATATAAAATGTTAGTTTTCACATAGTGTTTTATTCAATATGCCAGCCTAACTATTTCTTCATATACTAATTTTCCATATGTACAATGAAATTTCTTGCAATCTCAAAACTGTAGTCTGAAACCTTGACTTCACATATTTTTGAACGGGATCTGAAATGGAAGTTACTAACAAGAGATCTTGGCGCCACAATGGACCAGTGACAGAAAACTGAAATTTAGGGTGAATCAACTACAATAAAGGTCAAGGCACTGACAATATAATTGAAAGTATAATAATGGCATAGTCAAAGCCATGGTATTCCCTGTAGTAGCCTACGGATGTGAGAGCTGGACCTTAGGGAAGGCTGAGCGAAGGAAGATAGATGCTTTTGAACTGTGGTGTTGGAGGAAAGTTCTGAGAGTGCCTTGGACTGCGAGAAGATCCAACCAGTCCATCCTCCAGGAAATAAAGCCCGACTGCTCACTGGAAGGAAGGATACTAGAGACAAAGCTGAAGTACTTTGGCCACATCATGAGGGGACAACAAAGCCTAGAGAAGACAATTATGCTGGGGAAAGTGGAAGGCAAAAGGAAGAGGGGCCGACCAAGGGCAAGATGGATGGATGGCATCCTTGAAGTGACTGGACTGACCTTGAAGGAGCTGGGGGTGGTGACGGCCGACAGGGAGCTCTGGCGTGGGCTGATCCATGAGGTCACAAAGAGTCGGAGACGACTGAATGAATGAACAACAACATCATAATGGCATTAAAGTGTGGCAGCAACTGGTTTAAGGAACAGTTCCAGTTGTATGTTAAAAAAAATAATGTGGAAAAGAAAGCAACACAATGGTGACATGCCATATGGTGAAAAATTAAAGTTCAAGGAATATAATCGTTTAGGAAGAGTGACAAAAAGTCAGACTAAAAGATGGCATCTCCACATTTAAAAGCAGTGTACTGTTGAATATTGGTCAGTGTAGATCTGATCTAAGACTCGTTTTGTTATTGAGCGCAGAAACAAATGTAATAATATAATAAGCCAAAACATTATTCCAAAAAATGCAGTGTCCTGTCTGACTTTTCTGTATGGATCCAATTGCACATGTAAACCACTAGGTCATAGGAAAAGATTAGCAAAATACTCCCCTAAACCACCACATTAGCTTAAATTATAGAGGAAAGTATACCCTTTAAAACAGGGGTCCTCAAACTAAGGCCCGGGGGCCGGATGCGGCCCTCCAAGGTCATTTACCCAGCCCTCACTCAGGGTCAACCTAAGTCTGAAACAACTGGAAAGCACACAACAACAACAACAACAATAATCCTATCTCATCAGCCAAAAGCAGCTCCATACTTCCCATTGAAATACTAATAAGTTTATATTTGTTAGAATTGTTCTTCATTTTAATTATTGTGTTGTTTTTAAGTGTTTTTTTGCTCTACAAATAAGATGTGTGCAGTGTGCACAGGAATTCATTTATTCTTTTTCAAATTATAATCCGGCCCTCCAACAGTTTGAGGGATTGTGACCTGGCCTTCTGTTTAAAAAGTTTGAGGACCCTTGCTTTAAAACATGGACACTAGTTTTGGGGAACCTACAAATGGTTAGACATGGGGTCCTCAAACTAAGGCTCGAGGGCCGGATATGGCCCTCCAAGGTCATTTACCCGGCCCTCGCTCAGGATCAACCTAAGTCTGAAATAACTTGAAAGCATACAACAACAACAACCCTATCTCATCAGCCAAAAGCAGGCCCACGCTTCCCATTGATATACTAAGAAGTTTATTTTTGTTAAAATTGTTCTTCATTTTAATTATTGTATTGTTTTTAAGTGTTTTTGCACTACAAATAAGATATGTGCAGTGTGCATAGGAATTCATGTTTTTTTCAAATTATAATCTGACCCTCCAACAGTTTGAGGGACTGTGACCTGGCCCTCTGTTTATAAAGTTTGAGGACCTCTGGTCTAGACCAACAATATGCATATCTGTTTTACTAAGCAAGCATATTTACTGAGAGTGACAGAAACCAGAAGGGTCAGCAGTTTGGTACAGGTTCTCAGAAGACATAACGGTTCTCACTATTGCCAAGGGATTCACCAGATAAAAACAAAGCCAATACAAGAGTGGACATTTCTAAACATGTAGGAAGTTATGATTCTGGGTGATTATTCTTCAGCCAATTTTCCAGTTCTATGAAAATCTGGCACTACAGATCTGATGATCAAAGGGAATAAAATTAAGCACTAAAAATAGTTTTCAACAACTACCCATTTATATTTGTAGAAGAAGATGTCCCTGGAGCAAGTTTATTTTGTTCACTTTAAAACTAGCCATCTTATACATCCTTTCACCTTTATATCATTTCTACATCTACTATAATGCAACCTGAGGCCTGCACATGCACAACAGAGGACTTTCTCATAGTGACACCAGAGGCACTCCAAGTGGCCAGCTTCTGGTCAAAGGACATTTAGTATATTCCCATGTTTTTTTGAACTTTGTGTTTTTAAATGCATTTTAACTGTACCCTCAATTTGCTTCTGACATGATAAATAAATAAAATATACTTTTCCAGTACTTACAGTTGTGATCCAAAGAAGATACTATTTATGATTGCATATAAGATAGAGATAGACTTGGGATGTCAACTCCCAATTCTATCTCTGCAGTTTTCATTGCTGCAATTCCCACATCCAAGGAATCAAGCCACTCGTGAAAACTGGAGAGTGCATTCTCGCTTTGTTAGTGTCCCCATTTGATTGCAACCTACAGTTATAATGACATTTTAAACTAGTGGACATTTAAACCTAATTAAAAACATTGTGGAATATTTGTTATTCAGTGATCTAAATGAACATTCTTGACTCAATCTAAAACAGCATCACAATTCCTTGATTTTATTGTTCATCAGACAGCAACCACCTATAACATTTTTATTGATAAATGGGCAAATATTGAACACTATTTATATGAATATAAAAATACAGAGTGAACAAAAAAGAGTTTAAAATCAGAATCTCAGGAAGCCAGTCCTTGATGTCCCTACCAAAAAAGAGAAATAAACAGTCTCCATACGATTATATTAAAGAAGAAGAAGAAGAAGAAGAAGAAGAAGAAGAACAACAACAACAACAACAACAACAACAACAACAACAACTTTATTATTCTACCCCGCCTCTGTATTCCCGAAGGGACTCAGGGCAGCTTACATGGGGCCAAGCCCAAGGCAGAATACAATTAAAAGCAAAGCAATAACAATTAAGATACCATAAACCAGCATAAAACAGTGTAACAATAATAGCTAGCAACAACAGTAACAGCAGACTAATTTTGGAAGGGGGGCGGGAAGAGGACCACTATGCAAGCTGGTTAAAGGATAAGGTGGTTCAATAAGGTGGATAGCAGCGTATAATAGCACAGAAAATATCATGAAAACATAGCAAATTAACAGGATCAGAATCAATGGGATTGTGGCGCAGCTGGCTGAATGTCAGCTGCATTAAGATCACTCTGACCAAAAGGTCATGAGTTCGAAGCCAGCCCGGGTTGGAGTGGGTTTCCAACCCATTGTGTAGCCTGTTGTCGACCTTTGCAACCCGAAAGACAGTTGCATCTGTCAAGTAGGAAAATTAGGTACCACCTTAAAGTGTGGGGAGGCTAAATTAACTGATTTATGAGGCCATAAAAAAAGACTCCAGCAAGCACCCCAGCAAAAAGCATGCGGGGAATGCGGAAGTACTTCATCAGTGTCGCAGATGGACGATGAAAGCGACAGCTCCCCTGGCGGCCAGAAAAAGTTAAATAGCCTCTGTGTATGTCTGTATATGTTGTATGTTAAAATTGGCATTGAATGTTTGCCATATATGTGTACACTGTAATCCGCCCTGAGTCCCCTGCGGGGTGAGAAGGGCGGAATATAAAAGCTGTAAATAAATAAATAAATAAATAAATTGTGGGCCCTCCAGTCCAACCCCTTTCTGCCAAGAAGCAGGAAAATCACATTTAAAGCACCCTCGACAGAGGGCCATCCAGCCTCTACTTCAAAGCCTCTACCACACTCTCCCTGGGCAGAGAGAGAGTTCCACTGCTGAACAGCTCCCCCCCCATCAGTTAGTTCTCCTATAAAAGCTGTAAAATAATAATAATAATAATAATAATAATAATAATAATAATTGATATTGTATGAAGATTGTTGCATTTCTCAATGCTAATAATCAAACTTTATACAACAGTATTTGTCTAAACTTTGACCAATTATACAAATTAAATTATGACTTACAAAAAATAAGAACGACAAGGAATGAATCATTTTAACTAATATGAATGTAAATGGTTTCCCCTAATATTAGCATTCCAAAACTACAATTTCCAGTGTTTTGTATAAGGAGGACAGTTTACATAAAGAAAGTGTCAAAAGATGACCTGCATGTAAAAGATAACAGCTAAGATTGGGTGCTGAGCCTGGACATCCATCAGTGGTAGACACAGAACAAAGACCCGAAAATAGAAAGTATGTATATACAATATGACTGTTTAAATATAACAGAGCTACCCCTTCACCTGTTTGCCCAGTCTACTGTGATCTCATGAAGCACACACAGTACTGTACAACCCTGAAAACATACTGTACAAAATGAAAACTACAGCCAATATCCTTTAAAAATTGAAGAAATTACACATAAATGACTTTTTCCCAAAAAACTGCCCTTTAAAAAAGAACCCACTTCTTAAAAAGCAAAAAATTAAATTCACTCCCATATGCATGAAGCACTGTTTAAGCCCAACATCACTGACCAATCAAAATTAGTGAATGCACTGCATCTCTCTGCAGTGAAGGGAAGCGACAAGGTAGGCTGTCATTCTGCACAAGCTGCCCAGAACAAGGTCTCCTAAGCAGCAAAATTGCTCCGCTTCAGATCGGCCAGACCGTTACGCTGTCTCTGGAGACACGAAGCCTTCAGTATGTTAAATTACTTTCATTATGCATTTGGAGATGCTTATTGATTCTACGGTCGGAAGTGGGAGACTGCAGCAGGCTCCGAGAGCAGCATTGCATGCTGTATGCATGAGCACAGCGCTGAAACAATGGCACAGCACAAATACAAATATTCATTAAGGTCCTGTTTTGGAGTGATGCTTTTCACCCTCTTTCCCCTCTACTCTGCTAACAAGTGAGAAAAATATATTTTTTTAAATCAAAAGCAATGAATCCCTCCAAACTGGAACTGCTCCACCAGCTTCAGGAATTTATTCAATCCTCAGTAAAGGTAAGACACAATCCTTATGACTATCAGAAAATATGTTTATGAAGGGGGGAGGGCTTTCTAGTTCTATTTAAAATTCTACTTTGATTTTTCTGCTCTTTTGTCTTACGGCACACATAGTGTTCTCATTCATATATGTTATATTGCATTTAAAAGGATCAAATCCTTTCCAACTGCTTTATCTGCAAATACATAAGATGTAGAAGATTATCAGGTTTGTGTCAAAAGGGCTCTTACGACATGGTACAGCTTAAAGTTCCAGCAGATTTTTCCCCCTCAAAACAGCTAAAATGGATTAAAAATATCATACAACCACAGCCACATATGCAGCAAATATATTCAAATATTCCATAAGGGATGTTGCTTTCTGGAGGATGGGTTAAATGACTAATTCCCAAATTTGCTCATAGGGGAAAAAATGAGGTTCTTTTTTGTGTAACTGTGAAATGCTTTGGTATCGAAGGTATGTTTGAAGAACGTGATGTAAATAAGCTCACAGAAAGTACCAAATTCGAAAGGCGTGTGCAAATTAGGATAGCTATCATCCCCACGAAGCAGCTGAGGTTCTTACATGGTCACATGAAATCAAAACAGTAGGGTATAAACTAGTCTCTCAGTAGAGCTATATTTCATAGAATCTACAAATGTATTTAAGAAAATACTGCAGCACTGAATATGCTTCCCGATTTCTGCTATCTCCTTTTAATACGTTTCGATATCAAATCAAAATACAGCTAAATGAAAAAAGGGGTGGGGGTGGGAGATTTGCCATGTTGAGAAACAGTTAACACTGCATACTTCCTGCAAATAATGTTTTTTACATTGTCTCACAGAAGCCCTATATGACACAACGCCAAACCAGACTACACCAGATGAAAATGTTTTATTTATATTATTTAAGGATCTCTATTTTAACAAGTTTCTTTTTCCTTTCCATGGCACACAGCATCCAATTCAGTTTGGTTACTGATGACATGAAGAATCCAGTTTCCTGGGGATATTCCTTGCAGAGCTTCAGGATGTGCTTATAATATATGTTTTTGAACAGGGGAAATTATGGAGTTCTATATTACCCCTCAAATGGTGTGTAATGCACTTGTGTACACAGACAACTAAAAAGACACCTGCTCAAATGAAAGATTTATTCGGTGGCTTATTGCTACAGGAAAAATGGCGAGCATCTCCTGCAAGTGGATTTACAATGTAAAATCAGGATTGTGGATATGGCTGATGAACGAAGGAACATTAAGGAAAGAATTCCCTGAAAAAATATCTGGATAACACCAACAAGGATTGAGGCAAATTTGAATGGCTCTGCAGAATATTATTTGGGTTATTTCTACAAATGACTAAAGTTTAAGGAAACAATCATAAATAGGATGATATAGATCATGGCTTCAAAGGAAAACATGAAAACTGGATTATTAGAACAAACAGTAATTTCTATGACAAATCTGCAACACGGGAGTAATGAGCAATCTATAACTCCAAAATAATGATTGGAGATTAATAAAATCAGTACACACCTATAACAAGAGGATATAGTGAATTAAACTGGTTTCGATTTTTATTTTGCTACTACAAGGAGTGGGGGAGAAGGATGGTGCCAAGCAACACAGAAGAGGAAAGAAACTATGAACCACTGAGAACAGGGCTACTATCCACTGATGGATTAAAAGATCATTTTTTTCATCGGGTTCTGCTCCGTGGAAACGTATTAGGAAATTAAATGTTTTTGTTTACTCTGCTGCTGGTGTGCTGGAACAAAAAGAAAACTAAAATATTCTGTCAGGCAGGAAACAGATCGCAGCCATCTCTCTGTTGCCAGGTGAAAACGCATGTCAAAATCTGTCAGTGACACCATGTATGAATTTATGACAAGCTGCTCCTGCGAGCTGAAGGGCCCTTGAGGCAACAGAAAACAGGTAGGTCAGAGGCGGCATGATCCCAACCTCGGTTTAACATTTCCAGAAGGAGCCCAGCTCTGGAGATGTGTGTTGTTTTAATTACCTTCCCATTTGAACCGTTCTGCTTTTATTTCACCAAGTATCTAACTAATGTGACAAAGACCTGATGTTTAATGTGTCTGTCGAAAAGTTAGCACATGAATTTTCACCCATTTTTTGCAAGATTTCAATTTGCATTTGGATATGGTTTATTTCAGTTTATCAACCATGAGTCCGAATTACTCTAAATACAGGCTTGTACCTTAAGATTCATATATCGACAAAATGAATTGTCATATAAGCTATTCCATGCTTTCATGAGATGATTGGTTTTTATGCTGCAATTTACTAAATAAGTTTTTTTCTTTAAATAAATATATGTCTGCTAATTACCGAAGAACTGAAAAACCTTCCAACTGAAAGGACTGTTTTTTGCAATTTCATCGAGTCCATTTTTAACTTTTCAAAGTTCATTTTATGAAGGACAGACAAATGATAGTAATGAAGCAATCTAAAGTATGTTTTATGATGAAATCTCTTTCAAGTGGCAATTCTGTACACTTACCTAGGAGTAAGCCCTACTGAACACAGTGGAACTTCACAGTAAATGCACAGAATGAAACTGTCAGCAAAGAAGGTTCAGTTTTCAGAAACAGCTCATAACACCCCAAATACTTCACTCTGTAATCATACAATGTTGAGGGTGTGGTCACAGCATAAGTCATAGCACTGCAATTACTGCTATTCCATTGAATTGTGTTCTTCATAACTAGAGGAATAACATTCTACCCCATAAATCATCAGCATACAAATCCAATTGATGTCACTATTTGTAAATTCATTGTCATAAGTATTCATCTCACTTAATGAGGTAACACAAAAAAAATTGGGATCTAGTCCTCTTGCTACAGGCACATTAGTAGCTCAACAATAAGAACCCATTTTTGCTAGAACCTCCTGGAATGGAAAATGCTAAAGAAATTCAATACATTTATTATATGCAGAAATAATTTCATAATTCATAGGATAATGTACATTCACTTATACATTTTAAATAAATGCACTTGATTGCATTATTATGTACTCATGCAAAAAGACTATGTACGATGACACTCAAAAACACACAGGAAATACAAGCAATTTCCAGTGCAGATATAAGAGTAAAATTTATGCAATATGGATTATTTCCAATATGCAATTCAGAATAAGGTTATTAACTTGAACTTGTTAGAAAAGTAAAAAGTAATGTTTATCTTTTTGACACAGTAAACCTCCCCAGCCCGCCCCCCCCCCCCACACACACAAGCATTATATAAAGTTGGTATAGTTTTGCACAAATCAAAGTTATGCATACATTCAGTTTTGTAACACAAATGCTGTCTTTTTTTAACATATTTTGTTTTATTAACAACAGTCTCTTTGGGTTGTTGTAGGTTTTTTCGGGCTATATAGCCATGTTCTAGAGCAGTGGTTCTCAACCTGGGGTCCCCAGATGTTTTTGGCCTACAACTCCCAGAAATCCCAGCCAGTTTACCAGCTGTTAGGATTTCTGGGAGTTGAAGGCAAAAACATCTGGGGACCCCAGGTTGAGAACCACTGCCTTAAGCCATATCACCTGATGTTTCACCTGCATCTATGGCAAGCACAACCTCTGAGGATGCTTGCCATAGATGCAGGCGAAATGTCAGGAGAGAATGCCTCTAGAACATGGCCATATAGCCCAAAATAACCTACAACAACCCAGTGATTCCGGCCATGAAAGCCTTCGACAACAGTGTCTTTTTTTAAACCACGCAAAATTCATGCAAACTAAGCACAACAAATTTCCTGAATTAACCAAAGCTATTTTTCTGTAGATTATTATTAAATTAATTATTAAACTAATCTAGAATCAAGCAGCTTCATCTCTTCTCTCTCATATTTCAGGGCAAAACAAACTTCCAACAAAAGAATGTGTTTCTCTTCCATTCCAGAAGTCAACATGCAGTCTGAATCTAACATTACAGTTCGAGATGCCATTGATGACATCAACACCAATATGTACCAGCCACTGTCTTATCCATTAAGCTTTCAAGTGTCTCTCACTGGATTTCTGATGTTGGAAATAGTATTGGGACTTGGCAGCAACCTCACTGTATTGGTACTTTACTGCATGAAATCCAACTTAATCAATTCTGTCAGCAACATTATTACAATGAACCTTCATGTTCTCGATGTAATAATTTGTGTGGGATGTATTCCTCTAACTATAGTTATTCTTTTGCTTTCACTGGAGAATAACTCTGCACTCATCTGCTGCTTCCATGAAGCTTGTGTGTCATTTGCAAGCGTTTCCACTGCAATCAATGTCTTTGCGATTACTCTGGACAGATATGATATCTCTGTGAAACCTGCAAATCGTATTTTGACAATGGGAAGGGCTGTGATGCTCATGACATCAATATGGGTTGTCTCCTTTTTCTCCTTTTTGATTCCATTCATTGAAGTCAATTTCTTCAGTCTTCATAGTGCAAATACTTGGGAAAACAAGACACTCTTGTGTGTCAGTGCAAATGAATACCACACAGAACTAGGAATGTACTACCATCTTTTAGTACAAATTCCAATCTTCTTCTTCACAGTCGTAGTAATGCTAATTACATATAGCAAAATACTCCAGGCACTTAATATCCGAATAGGCACAAGATTTTCTACGGGACAAAAGAAAAAAGCAAGGAAGAAAAAAACAATTTCTTTGTCTACACAACATGAAACCACTGATGTATCACAAAGCAGTGGAGGGAGAAACGTCGTCTTTGGGGTGAGGACTTCAGTTTCCGTGATAATTGCTCTACGACGGGCTGTAAAGAGACATCGCGAACGGCGAGAAAGACAGAAAAGAGTCTTCAGAATGTCATTATTAATCATTTCAACTTTTCTTCTCTGCTGGACACCAATTACAGTTTTAAATACTACAATTTTATGTTTGGGCCCAAGTGACCTTTTGGTAAAGCTGAGATTATGTTTTCTAGTCATGGCATATGGAACCACCATCTTCCACCCTTTACTATATGCATTCACTAGACAAAAATTTCAAAAGGTTTTGAAAAGTAAAATGAAAAAACGCGTCGTTTCAATAGTAGAAGCTGACCCTATCCCAAACAATGCTGTAATCCACAACTCATGGATAGAGCCTAAGAGGAACAAGACAATTACTTTTGAAGGCAATGAAGTAAGACAAAAGTGTTTAGTACCTCAGGTCGTCACAGACTAGATTTCAGTATTCATTATCTTTGAAGAATAACTGTATGGAAAAGATGAATTAAATTGCCAAATTAAGATTTTTAAAAAATGAATGAATTGGCTAGATGATAATTGTTTGACATGTGTTGAATAGATTAGGCCTGTATATTCTATTTCTGCATTAGTCAAGTTGTGTGTTGCATGGCAGTTTGTTAGAGTAACATCATGAGTATATTTTGTCAATATTATGTCCTCCAATATACATCTAAGTAAATATTTTCTTAAAAAATAGCCTTAAAACAGTGTACACTTTTTGAGTTGCTGTAAATATATCAAGATTTGTTTTTAAGCTTTCCGCCACAGACATAGTTGATGGGGAAGCTTCATGACATTAAGGTTTTGTTGGCTCTGTTCTGACATAATATACAACTTTCTGCAATCGATTCCAAACTTGCAACCAGAATCAGAAGCCTGATATAATGATTACATGTTTAGTGCACAACAGGGATGTTTACTCTTAACAAGAAATATACACACATTTTAAGCCAAGGCAATAAGTGCCCTTGCAAACAGTTTTCATTTGAACAATCTTATAGGAGCTTATGAAGGAAACATAATGGAAAAACAGCAAAACACTGTTGTACATCTTTAAAACACCATTTAAGTTCACTGTGGTGCAGTAAGGCATTCCTCAAGCACATATTCACCAATGTTACAGTATAGAAACAGTAAGTTTCTCATGCACTGATGAAGTGCATGTTCCTATATTCACAGCTACCCAGGATTAGAATTTAAAGTTGTTCACCTATATCCCATGGTTATAATCTCAGACCTTCCAAAGTCACTGTATAGTTCTGAAAAATAACAACACATTTTGTGGGATATAATCAAAATGGCTCAAGAACTCATCAAGTCATGTAATCAACAAATGAAGTGTATCGCCTAGTCTTCATCATAAATTACTAATCAGCTACGCAAGCCCTAAATTATAATCATTCTAATCTTATAATAACTTTTTCTTCCTTCTCACCTTTTCTGAACTGTAGTGTGGGTTCAAGCTGTCAGATTGCTAACAACTTATTTGCACAAAACGCATCACTGGACAGAACCACGAGTATTACAAATAATCTATTCAAACCACATGTTCCACATTTGACTTCTAAAAACCAGATATTTTCCCCGGAGAAAGTATTCAAGGGATTTGCATTTTCTTACATCTCAAACAAACAAGATAGTGTACCCAGCATCTAATACAGGGTGAGGCAGCATAACTTCATTTTTTCAAAACTTAATAAAACTTTCTATTCTCAAGGACAGTTTTATCAGGCTTTCTCTTCACTCAGTTTACATTTGAGTTTTAAGATGAGTGTAGAAAACCGTATCAAATTCATGAGGGTCACAATAATTCAAAAGGCAGCTTGAAGACACAGAAATGTCACTGAGAGCCTTTTGGGTCATTCAACTGGAGACTGGTAAAGATGCCATGTTACGCTGATGGCGTCTTTTGTTCGACTTACATGAAAGGGCTCCCAAAGCAATGAACAAATAAAACCAATTTTAAAACACAAAAAATAAGACCCTTTTGAAGCAAATTAAAATACTCTTTAAAAACGCCGAAGTGCAATCCAATAGCAGTCCTGTAATCCAGTTCTGAAACTGTTAAAAAGTCAGCACTAGGGTTGTTAAACCTTCTATGGCAGGGGTCCTCAAACTAAGGCCCGGGGGCCGAATGCCCTCCAAGGTCATTTACCCGGCCCTCGCTTAGGATCAACCCAAGTCTGTAATGACTTGAAAGCACACAACAACAACAACAACAACAACAACAACAACAACAACAACCCTATCTCATCAGCCAAAAGCAGGCCCACACTTCCCACTGAAATACTAATAAGTTTATATTTGTTAAAATTGTTCTTCATTTTAATTATTGTATTGTTTTAAAGAACTCTAAAATTAGAACAGCACAACAACAGAGAGGAAACAAACAAGGACATCTAATCACCTCTCAACAAAAGATTGCTCCAGGCTCTGCCAGGCAATCAGGGGGTCAGTTGAAACATTCACACCTAGCTCCAGCAGACAAGAGTCCTTTGTCCCACCCTGGTCATTCCACAGATATATAAACCCATTTTCCTAGTTCCAACAGACCTCACTACCTCTGAGCATGCTTGCCATAGATGCAGGCGAAACGTCAGGAGAAAATGCCTCTAGAACATGGCCATATAGCCCGAAAAAACCTACAACACCCCAAATTATTGTATTGTTTTTAAGTGTTTTTGCACTACAAATAAGATATGTGCAGTGTGCATAGGAATTCATTCATTTTTTTCAAATTATAATCCGGCCCTCCAACAGTTTGAGGGATTGTGACCTGGCCCTCTGTTTAAAAAGTTTGAGGACCCCTGTTCTATGGCATCAATATCCCGATTGAAGTCCAAAGTTACATTCCATCTAAGATTCAAGGCTTGACAGCAACTACTTTGAGAAATTGAAAGGAATATTAATGTGAAAGAACACCTCAGATTAGGCCACGTGCTCTATGCCATGTATTTTCAAGTAAGACTCGACAGTTGCAAAGCAGATCTGCTAATGGGTTTCAAAAGATCTCTCAAGAAAGAGAGATTGGTTTTGGAACTTTGGAAAAACCAAATCCTTTGTTTTTATGAGACGGATTCACCTTCAGTTAAAAAAAGCCATACTAACGTCATAGATCACAGGAAGGGAGATACACAATCCTACACAGTTACTTTCAGTTTTATGCAGTGCTTTACAGGGCAGGATGACTGAATGCAGATGTCAGGAACCATGCAGTTTCGGCTTAAAAGCTTTCTTGTTTATACTCCATAAAGGCAAAGGGACAGGATGTTCTTTGATCACATAGTAGCCTCTGCCTACTTGCTTAGGCCCAGCTTTACCTCTACTCTGCTTCCCTAGATGCGCTGCAGAAGGACAGTAACCAAACAGTCAGTTGCAAACCATCACTTTTCCATGCAGTAGAGATATCATAATGTAAGCTTTTATACAGCCATTTGAATCCTATCCAAATTTCAGCATGTGTCTTCCTCAATAAAGTCCAAATGCCAGAATAACATCAGCACAATTTGAATCTAATAATGAAATGATACGGTCTCAGATTGTTTAGCGTTCGGGGAATTTCTTGTCAGTCCTCAAAGCTCTGACAAACCTCGTTTGTTTTATTTATTTATTTATTTGGTGGTCCCTATGTAGATTTGTCCACAGCTGAATGGTACTTCTGCAGGAGTCTACCGTGTACGATGCAACTGTGGACAAGTCTACATATGAACCACCGAACACAGCATTCCCCAAACACGAATCAAGGAACATGAAAGGCACTGCAGACTACTTCAACCAGAGAAGTCAGCCATAGCAGAGCACCTGATGAACCAGCCTGGACACAGCATATTATTTGAGAACACAGAAATGCTGGACCACTCTCACAACCACCATGTCAGACTACACAGAGAAGCCATTGAAATACACAAGCATGTGGACAATTTCAACAGAAAGGAGGAAACCCATGAAAATGAACAAAATCTGGCTACCAGTATTAAAAAACTCTAAAATTAGAACAGCACAACAACAGAGAGGAAACAGACAGGGACATCTAATCACCTCTCAACAAAAGTTTGCTCCAGGCACAGTCAGGCCATTGTGTGCTAATCAAGGTGGTCAGTTGAAACATTCACACCTAGCTCCAGCAGACAAGAGTCCTTTGTCTCACCCTGGTCATTCCACAGATATATAAACCCTTTTTCCTAGTTCCAACAGACCTCACTACCTCTGAGGATGCTTGCCATAGATGCATTTGTGTTGAAACAGTTTCTATATAACAGGGTCCTCAAACTTTTTAAACAGAGGGCCAGGTCACAGTCCCTCCAACTGTTGGAGGGCCGGATTATAATTTGAAAAAAAATGAATGAATTCCTATGCACACTGCACATATCTTATTTGTAGTGCAAAAACACTTAAAAACAATACAATAATTAAAATGAAGAACAATTTTAACAAATATAAATTTATTAGTATTTCAATGGGAAGTGTGGGCCTGCTTTTGGCTGATGAGATAGGATTGTTGTTGTTGTTGTGTGCTTTCAAGTCGTTACAGATTTAGGTTGACCCTGAGCGAGGGCCAGATAAATGACCTTGGAGGGCCGCATCCGGCCCCCGGGCCTTAGTTTGAGGACCCCTGCTCTAGACCATGGTCATACAACCCGAAAAAACCCACAACAACCCAATAAAAAGGTACATTTGTGGCGGATGGTTTTAAAATAATTCTCAGCTTGAATACTTAAATCCAAATGCCTTGCATGAGATACAAGTCCTATCATAAAGCAACAAGCGTGTATGTATATATTACAAATAGATGTGTTTGTTTTTAAAGACTAGACAGCATTCACAGCATTGGTCCACAAAGGATACACACATGGCATTTATTTATTCTATTCAGAATGCAACATATAATCCAATATATGCTTAACAGGGTATTGGAGAAAACTAAAATAGGAAATACATCACAATCCGTCAACAGGGTATATATGAACAGCAGGTAGTTTAATATGTAAGACTTTTCTGGTAGGCAGTCCTTTCCAGTGATAGAATTGTTAAAGAACAATGTGTACTGTTGTAGAAATATATGGTATTATTTTTTTAAACGACAACTGTAAAGAAACAATGCAACTTAAGACTGTATACCTTGAATTCTAAGATCTGTTAAATAACTTTATGGAAGGGGAGTTCCTTTTCCTCCTCCTCCCACTAAGGACCCAAAGAACAAACATGTCTTCCAAAAAGTAATCACACAAGGTCAATGGCCCTCCCGAACTCTATGGAATAGAAGACACGATAAGTCGTTGGTGAAAAATTACCCAGAACTAGGCATTTCTCTGACTATTTTTGAGTGATGCCCTCCTCAGTCAGCAATTCCTCCCATGTCTCCCTCTATAACCCACAATGTTCAAATGGGAGCCCAATCCTTCTGTGAAGTTTTTCATAAAGAGGGATGGAAAGGAAATTCTTCTTCCATGGAACTTTTTTTACTTTACCTTACTATCCAAAGTCGAATTCATACTTCATATCAGATTACTTTTTTAAAGAATCAGCACAGGAAACTGAACCCTTCATGCAGTGAGTGCCCATGCCTGATGGGCAATGATGATTTTTTGAAGTAGCTCTTAGCATATATATAAGGGTATTAAAATTAAAATTTATGAGGGACATGAGTTACTATCTCTAAATATACACTAATGGCAGCTCTTGAATGCTAATTAATACAATTTTATTTACATATAGCAGAAACCATTCAACTCTAGTCACACCCTGCTCATGAAAATAATAAAGGGTATCTACAGTGAAAAAAGAAGAAGATTAAATTAGTGCATGCTGCTGACAAAAGAATTATAATATTTCTAGCTAATTTGATTGATAGGCTCAGGATGGGGAGTGGTAATTCAGTACTTATGTAAATGTTTATTCCAAATGCAATATACATACATACAAACCCATATATGTATACATCCATACACACAAATTAAGATAATGCTTTAAATTAGGTTCTGTGCATCATCAATAGTAAGCTGTTCAGAATTATCTGGGCGTATCTTCCTGTAATATGGTCATTTGATACTGTAGTCTTTTCTATGACAACTGCAAGGAAAATGATGTCTCTCTGGCTACTCTTTTCTTAAAAAATACTACATTATAATCATGATTTTTAGAATGGATCTTTAAATAAGGACCCCCTCTCTTAGAAATACAGCATAAGAAGAAATGGTCACACAAAGATCCTGTTCACAGAAGAGTTATTCAAAAATGTTGCAATATACTACCTATGTTCTAGGGTGGGCAACACTTTCTCCAAGATATCTTCCACAACCAACCTATGGATTCTAAATCGCCAAGGAATGAACACAATCACTTCTACTTAGTATTATTATTATTTTTTGTCGTGTCAGGAGCGTCGCTTCTGTTGTGAAAGAATTGGCCGTCTGCAAAGCCGTTGCCCAGGGGACGCCTGGATGATTTGATGTTTTTATCATCCTTGTGGGAGGCTTCTCTCATGTCCCCGCATGAGGAGCTGGAGCTCATAGAGGGAGCTCATCCGCCTCTTCCCGGATTCGAACCTGTGACCTGTCCATCTTCAGTCCTGCCAGCACAGGGGTTTAACCCACTGCGCCACCGGGGGCTCCAGTATTCATATGGTAAATCATAAGTCACTCTTAATGTTTTCCTAAATTTGGGGATCCGCTTTTCATGTAATTCACAGATAGATCAA